GACCCTGCTACACCTATACCCATAGACAAATGTCAGCCAATCAGGGTCCTGAACCTTGGAAATCCCCTCACCCCAACCTCTGCTATGATTAAAATTCCCACCCTGCCTGGGTTCTGGGCTCTCTGTTCTCACTGCTACATAGACAGAGAGTCCAAGCTCTGAGCTTGAAAATAAAGGTTCTTTGCTTTTACATATGAAATTCAGTCTCCCTGGTGGTCTTTTAAGGGTCCCCACAATCTGGGCATAACAGTTCCTTTATTTGAACACAAGTTACAGTTCAAAATGTGATGGCACTCATACAGAAGAAAGCTAAATTTTATTGAAAAGTATGAGAGCCTGTGGTTCAGGTTCAGGTAGAAATGATCTCTGTAATGTGAAAAGGAATCTCACATGCATTGCATATACTGCTGATGTTTGGACATTTTAATATCTTTGATATTTCAAATAATGCAATTGCAGAGGAAAAGATACAGCATGGTTTACCAGAAAGGCCAAGCTGTAGGTTAAAGAGAGGGCTGAACTGTGGGTGAGGATGGGAGACAGATTTTGCCCCTTTCAGACATCTGTCTGTGATGCCGAGAACATTGCTTTTATTGTAAGTGAATCCTATTTGGATTACAGACAAGAAAACAAGCTGTACCGGAATTAACACAGAGACAACAGATCCAATCTAATGCTTTGAAATTTTAGTTTCATATTCAAATCCACACATTTAAACAACACTAAAACTGTCCTCAAAACTGGGCAAATACCTCGAGTGTAGTTCCGTACTGCCATTATTGTATTTGCTTCCTCTTTCCCAGACACCAAAGTCAGGAACACGGTAAACTCTTTCTACACAAAATACAAGGTTTTGAATAAAAGAGACCTAAAAGAAAGGAAAAGAAATGAACGTAAGAACACATGCAACACTGAGAACAATTACATACCACCTAAATCCAAGTATGAACTTATCTCCCAAAGTATATTATTGTCTTCCCTTCTTTTTCCTAAGACATGACCCCATGTACTCCAGGCTAACGTCTAAGTTTTGGTAACCAAGTGTGGTGGTATTCTAATTGTACTGAAATGTGATTTTGATTGTATGTTAATAAATAAAGTTGCCTGGGGCTTAGAGCTATTAGAGCCATAGACAGAGTGTGGCGGTGGTGGCACACGCCTTTAATCCCATAGATCTCTGTGTGTTCAGGGATACAGCCAGCATTGGAGACATATGCCTTTAAGACCTAGAGGGCTGTACATTCAGACAGTGACGAGGCAGTCACGTGTTTGGGTTTACAACCAATGAGAAGGCAGAATGACTAGAAAAAAAACGACTTACACACAGGAAATAGCTCTTTTTTGGGAAGCTGGGACACCGCAGGCGGAAGGGTGAAATTTTAGCTCTGAGCTCTGACCTCTCGGCTTTCTCTTTTACATTGTTTCTGTGTTTCTTATTTAATAAGACTGTTGGATACATCTACAACCAAGTATGACCTTGGACATCTCCTCCATCCTCCGGCCTGCACCTCCTGAGTGCTGTGATTACAGTCATGTGCCACACCTAGTTTGGGGTGCTGGATATCAACCTCAGGGTTTTGCACACACTGAGCAATCACTCTACCAACTGAAATACTTTTTTAATGCATTGAATTCTTATGATTATTACATTATTATGAGTCATCTGCTATATTAGGTTTTCAAATATAATGCTTACTTTTGGTGAGAACCTAATTAGTTTTGTATAGTACAGAAATAAAATTTAAATTCTTTCAATGTCCCAACTATAATTCTTCAATGAGGTAATATCACTGTTTATAAGGGCTACGTGTCATAAGAACTAAGTAAAATGAACAGTATGTTATACTGGGTAATATCTAGAAACTAAAGTATCGATATGAAATTTACACACATATATATTAACTGTAAAGTTTTAAAGATTAAAAGAATAACCTTTTGAAAAGTAAAAAGGATTTTTCTTTTCTGCAAAATTCTGGTTCCATGTTGATCAACCTGGAGTTTTCAGTCCATGCTTCTGGAAAGTAATTTTCCTTCCTGTCCTTTCTGTAACCATAGATCCTGATTATAAACACAGCCCACAGTTGGAAGCTGTGCAGGACAATGGAGACTAGAGAGAGCCACAGTGAGATTAACATAAAGAAAGCCACCTGGCAGCATGCTAAGCCTTCTCCACTTCGATCTTATAAAGAGAGCAACTCTGGACAGTCAATCTGATTTCTGTTCTACTTCTGTATCCTTCAATCCTTTTCTGACAATAAAGCCAATTTCTTCTGCAGGGTCCTGAGTGGTCTTTTCAAAATCTTTAGAGGTGATAGTATCCAATTTCCAAATCACTAATAAAAGCAATTAGAGGTCAGCCATTTTTCACAACATTTGGTAAAAATGTTTTATGAATCTTGATAGTGTCATGGTTTTCACAGTGGACATTCATGCCCTTCTTAATCTACCCATTCTCCTCACATGGCTCTATGTATTAAACTGCCCTCTGACTGGTGCCTTGGGTTCCAAGTGGTTCAATCATGTTAGTCTTGCTCATTTCCAACTGAAACACTTCTTTCAAAAAATGAATTTTCCTTCAACCTCAATTCAAAAGGATGAAATAGCTAATAATCCTCATTGTTCTTAAAGCCACAAGCATAGCTCGTTATCTTTGTGTTTCACATGTTGCCCTCCCACCACCTCTAATTAGTATACAGGTCTGCTCCTCCTGTTTGCAGCTATAAAATACCAGAAGCTCTGAACCATTTTCTTTCTCCTTAACTCATTCTTCAGCAAAATCAGAAACTGAGATGAGATTTCTGCCTTTGTATTCCATTTTATATGACTATTCATATGTTTTATTAGAAAAAAATATTGTGATGACTATGGAATACTCTCTTAAGCCTCGCTGGAATTATTGTATATCTGAACGGTATTGCTTTTAAAGTTACATTCATTTATTTTGTGCATGTGTGTATGCATGAGCATGTATGTATGAGTGAGTATATGTGCATATGTGTGAGTGTGTGTGTAGGTTTGTGTGTGTCCAAAGCATGCATGTGGAGGGCAGAGGACAACTGTGGGAATAGAAAACCATATCCCACTATGTGAGTGCCAGGGATCCGATTCAAGCCTTTAGGCAAGGTGGCATGTACCTTTAAAACTGAGACATCTTGCTATGCCTCTCCCCCTTTAAAGACACAGAATCCTGCTGCATTATGCAAACTGCAAACTACCTCAGAACTCTTGGACTGCAGCACTCTTTGCATCAGCCTTGTAAGGAGCTGGGAAGACAGGCAGACATCGCTATACCATATGTATTACCCCTTTGAAATAAAAATGACCTTGAGATATGAAATACACCTAATTGCAAAGGATTCTGCAAATAAGGAGCTAAAGACCTGCATAACTCTCCTGACCAGAAATGTAAATTTCTTATGGTTTTCAAATGAAAATATCAACAGAAGAACGGATGAGAATCGAGGCTCTCAAGTTACAATAAACTGAGTGGATAGAGGAAATGTGATCTAGACAAACAGAATACTATCCAACAATTAAGAAAAACAAAATTACATAATTCCCAGGAAAATGGATGAAACCCAAGTTCTTCATGAAAAGTGAAATATTATTCTAGGCCCAGGGAGACAAAATAGGGCATGTTTTTCCTTAAAAGGGAATTGACAGCAGAGGGAATACTTAGGACAAGGAGGAAGACCAGTGGGATTGGGAGGAGGAAAGGAGAGGATAACAGGGATGAACCAGGTACAAACACATTATTTGGATGTATGAGAACACCTGATGTAACTCATCATTGTTTAAAGACAGAGAACTGGGTACCCAAGGAGACAAGAGGTTGCACAAACATGAACGCAAAGATCATAACCATTTCCTAGGTATTCTTTGTATTAACTTCAATACTGATTCTATATATCTGTGCTAGCTTCATTCTGCTGCTGTGATTAAAAAAAAAACAAAAAACAGACAAACAAACAAACAAAAAACAAAATAAAAACCCCTGTGACCAAAAGCAGCCTGGGGAGTAAAACTTTTTTTTTTTTGTTGTTGTTGTTTTGTTTTGTTTTTGGGAGGGGGTTATACTTCCAGGATACAGTATATCATTCAGGGAAAGGGGTAGGAACTCAGAGCAGGAGCCTAGAGGTAGGAACCATGGAAGAACTCTACTTGCTGGCTTGCCCTCTGGGGAGGCTCACTAATGCTTAGCTAGCTTTTTGTTTTACAGCCCAGGAACACACTCACAGTGGGCTGGCCCTCCTAAGACAATTAGTAAACAAGACAAGGCCTCACAGATATGCCCATAGACCAGCCTGATCCAGCCAGTTCCCCAACTGAGGCTTTTATCTAGATTGTGTCAAGCTGACAATTACGACCAACCAGGACAGTGTCCAATGCTATTTGCCCCCTTCCATCTTCATACCAATTTCTGATGCATGTTAACTTGCTTTGAAGGTATGTAACATTGCAATCTAGTTTTGGAAGAAGTCCATAGGAAACATTTCTAATATAAAACTCCTTCAATATTCATCTCCAAATCATGGTTATGATATTTTCTGAATGTTTTATGAATATCTTTTAAAAATAATGCAAACATTTGAAATGCTTTGACAACAGAGTGCAAATGAAATAATAACATTTTAGGGTGAAGTTTAATGTGGCTAACATTGTACTAAAAAGCAAAATCTTAGAGAGCTTTATAATATTTAAGGTATACGATGATAATAAACTGCTAAATTTGATATTAAGAGGACCTCAGAGTGAATTAACAATTTTATAATTTGTTTGCCATTAACTCTAAAAGCATTACACATGTGTGTGCATGTATATAAAACATTCACTATAATAAGTCAAATTATTCAGCATGTATCATAATTCCTCACAACTATGGTTAATGCTTACAAAATTCCATTAAGAATAAATTCTAAGGTTCCTTAGCCCTAGAACTGGTTAAGTGACTATGGTTAGCAGTTATTGTATATTTCCAAAAGGTATAGAAGAAATGATTTTGAATGTTCACAACACAAAGAAATGTGACTGGAAAAAAAATGTGACTAATATGCTAAATTACCTATCCTAATTTGATACAATATACATCTTGAATCAAAACATCACACTATGCACCTTAAATATATATTATGTCAAGTAAACTTTTAATGTTCACATATAATTTATAGGGAAATTTCTGAGTAAGAGTCAAGAAATTAGGGCTTGAAGAGATGGCAGTTAAGAAAATTTATTGCTCTGGCAGAAGATGGAATTGGTTCCCAGCACCCACATTAGACAGCTCAGAATTACCCACAACTGCACACTACCCCCTACATAATTTAAAATATCAATAATTAAAATTAAAAAAAATAAATGAAATTAGATGAGGACTGAAGTTACAAATGACCCAACAAAGTCATTAAAAATATCTTTTCTAAAATTTATCAAAATAAAATAATTCAAGGCCTAGGGAAGAAAATCAATGGGAAAGAGAACTTGCTGAGTAAGGACGAGGACCTAAGTTCAAATCCCCAACACTAGGTAAACACTCTAGTGTTGGTGAGCACGGGCAGAAACAGCTGTAAAAATGTAAAAATAGCTGGAGCTTGCTGGCTGCCAGCCTGGCTCTAGGTTCAGTGAGAGACTCTGAGTCAATGGAGTAAAGTGGAAGATACAGCCAGACACCAGATACCTTCTCTGGCCTCCACACATATAAGCACTCTCACCCACATCTACATGTGCGCATATAACAATCTAACGCACACACATGCACATAAATAAAAAAGTCAGACCCAATACTAAAAGCCAAGTTTTAATATGCTTATTATACATTGTGATGGCTATTTTTGGTTGTCCATTTGACTAGATCTGGAATTAACTAAAACCCAA